TTGAACAATATAGAAAAAGTTTTGGTAGACAAGCTTTGTATTTTTCACTTTTTTATTGTATACTTTCTAGTTTTACACTTGTTCACTTGTTTGCCCGCAATATTTTATGCCTGTTCTTCTAAGATATACCTCTATAAAATCTAATGGCATAGCAGTATTTTCAAAGACCTAGCAGCATATGGGGGGCCTAGAAAGGAGAGAAAAAGGAGCAAGATAGTCTTTGTGTCCTTGAATTAAGGGAATTCTGAAAGGTTTAGCTGCCTATCTAGGTTTAAGAAAATATGCAGCTTCTATACAGCCATGAAGCATAGGACCAATAATATATTTGAATTTTACAACCCTTACCCTGTCATAAGACAGGACAAGCTACCTCAGAAAGTTGATTTTGGATGTCATGAAAAATCAGTTATTTGCCATTTCTCCTCACAGTACTTTTATATTTTACATGACCTGGATGACTTAAAATCTCCATAGACTTTTATATCTTGAGTTTTTCTGTTTCAGCTGCCAGAATAATTTGGCTAATCTTGAATAGCATACACTTTCACTGGTGAGCTGATTGAATATTCCATTTTATTTCAAGCCCCCCCCCCCCCCAAATCCCCCTTGAATTGTCTCTGGACATTTTATCTTCAGATTCAACCCATTTAAAAAAGCTCTTAATATATAAAGTTAGAGGTTCTCCTTTACAGTACAGTAATTTGTAAATGATGCATATCAATATATAGCTGTCATTTCAGCCCTATTCGTAACAAGTAATATTAAATATTTTGCACATCAAAATTCTATACACTTTTATCTTTGCAAGAGATTTTTAACTGCTGATAACAATCTACTTGTAAATACAGCTGCAGTATTTGCTATATTGATATGCATGATGTAGTTTTAGTTACTTGTATTCTTAGTAAACTCAAGTCAAACTGATTACTTGTGCCTATGTGGACACAGCCATGCAATGTTCTTGTCAACAGAACAAAAGTAGCTTGCCGATGCATTTTTCTCTGGTATTGTTGCCTTTCCATCCAAATACAGGTAATACTCAACTTACAACCACAATTGAGCCAAATTTTTTTATTGCTAAGCAAGACAGTTATTAAATAAATTTTGCCTGATTTTACAATCTTTCTTGCCACATTTGTTAAGTGAATCACTGCAATTGTTAGTAACAGGATTGTTGAGTGGAGCTGGCTTCCCCATTCACTTTGCTTGTCAGAAAGTTATAAAAAGTGTGTCAAGGTTCCAAGTGATGAACCCAACCAAGCCAACACTCTGAGGTGATCAGATCTCTTTAAGAACTATTTTATTGAGTACATCAATTTGGCATGCAAAAAAGCAAAACCAACTCTAATTAATTTCCACGCTTTTTGTATAATTGAAGAATAGATAATTCCCTCCCTCATGGTTACATTGTCCAATTAGGTGTTCTGGCATCTCTCAGGTAACTCCCTCCCATCTCTGGCCAGCACCTGTAGAGATAACCTTCATTCCCACGGGACAATCTGTTTTTATTGTCTGGTCCGACATTCCAAACCTCTCCCCCCATACTGTGTGGCAAGCTGAGAAATGAAAAGGTGGCTGTGGCAGCATAGGTCCGTTTTGAAATTGACAAGGTGATCACATGATTTGGGGATACAGCAACTGTCATAAATACCTATCAGTTGCCAAGCATCTGAATTTTGCTCATGTGATCACGAAAATGCTGCAGTTGTCATAATTGTGAAAAACAGTCATAAATCACCTTTTTTGTGTCATTGTAACTTTGAATGGTCACTAAACAAACTATTTGTATTAAGTAAACCAGAGTGTGTTTAATTTCTGAATGCAGACAAAGTGGGCCAAGGACCATCACCTGTACATATAGTGACTTTTTAGTATTGGCATTATGAACACACATAGAGAATTACCTGGTGTTACATCTCTTGCCTTGTAGTAGATGAACAACTAGCATCTTCATAGATAGTGCTGGTAAAAAATAGAAGCTTTTGCTTCCGACTGGCTATGTGATTTCTCAGAGTGAAGGATCCTTTTCCTCTGGTGAATTAAATCTTAGAAGAAAGAAGGCAAGAGCTGGGAAGAGAGTCCAGAAGACTATGAATAAAAGGAACAAAGAATGAACAAGTTTGAATAAATCAAGATAAATCAAGATCCCTACAAAAGGGATCAGTGAAAAGGAACCAGCTAGAAAATAATGTCTATAGGAAATAGAAGCAAGAAACTCCTAATGAAAAAAATATGCTGTATCCTGTGAAGAAGAAAAGACAAGATGGAAAAGGTCATGAGGTTAATCAATAGGGCAACTAAAGAAAATTATATAAAGCTAACAATGTCTGGAAACCAAGAACCTGAGAAAAATAAAAGATTTTTTTCACAATATTAAAAACTGAAATAACTGAAATGATTCAATTAAGCAGGTGTAATTGCAGGAATGTTCTTATCTTGGATGGCAAACCTCAGATAAAGTATGTTTCCAAGCAAATACAACTCAGGCAAACAAAGTTACTAATGTAAAGGAGGATTAGAAGAGGAAGTAAACATATGTTAGACTTTAACTAGAGATAATTAATTGTGTTAATTACTATGCTAAACAGTAACAAAAGTTAAGCAGTAACCAAAGTTAACCAATGTTGAAGGATTACTAAAAATGTGTATAAATGCAAGACTAGACTCCAATAAAGTTCATCATGATTCAGTTGATCACGATCAAGCAACTCGACTGCCTCGTTATTACAGCAAGCAGGGAGACTCTGGATTAAAGAGAGAAACTGTGTGGAAGGTTTAAATGGCTTTAACAAGATGATTAGACAAATTCACATAGGAAGAGCTGTTATTGCTTTTAGTCTTCTGAATCACAGGGAGCCTGCTTTAAAAAAATGCTATGGTGGAATGATTATCAAGGCCTACATGTATATTTTCTGGATGCATTTGGATTACCAAATGTTTCTTGAATAAATGGGCCTCTGGACTGATCTAGTACAACTCTTCTTAAATTCAAGAATGATGTATAACTTCCTATAGATGCAAGAAAGAGCTGTGTGTTTAGGACAAAAATAACAAACAAGAGACAAAAACCTTACAAATAAGTAACTACCTCTGAAATCTGACAGAGGAATCTGTCACTTATAACCACAGCCTTGGATCAGACATTTTAAGTAAGGAAGTGAGTGCCAAAATGCAGAAGTAGGATCAATGGTAGCAAGAAAGATTTTTCTGTAACCCATTGTCTCTGTCTCTGTCTGTCTGTCTGTCTGTCTGTCTCTGTGTGTGTGTGTGTGTGTGGACATATCATTGCATCCATCACAGATGAAAATAGGATCCACTAGCTTGGTTTTATATTTATAGGAGATGGACAATAGACATAAATACCTCTAGACTACTGACCTTTTGCAATATTAAAAGCACAAATGCATTGTGACCTTTATGATGAAGCCCCAAGAGAATGAGCTGGAATATGATATCACAGATGTGAATCACAAGCTTCCTCCAACGTTAAACACACACAAATAAATGCACACTCTTCCAACAAGTTCTGATATTGCAACATAATCAGACCTGACATTGATTTAAATATTAGAAGGGCATAATCAATATACAATAATGCTCAGACTTCTATATTTAAAAATATTATATCTAGAGACAATCAGTATGTATAAGGGAGGGAGGAAGACTTACCCCCAGCTTCCTCCAAGCAAACTCAGTCAGGAAACTGGCAGAAAGTTGGAAGTCACTCCTGTTCCCATTGCTGTTTTGCCTGTCCATGGTCATTCTGTTTCTCGGTTTAGGTAAGGGAATATATCTGATGACATAGCAGGGCACAGGTTGTCTAGTAGGGACGTAAACATGTGCAGCCATAAACACATATATACATGAAGAGACATCTACAAACATTATGGGATGCAAAAATTGTCATAATTTAAATATATTTGTGCTGAGTCACACCACTGTTTAATATTCAGGGTAATGCTATTGCTTTGATTAAATTTGAATATCTTGTTATCCTATTTAAAATGCTTAAGTCATAAGATTCATTAGCTAAATGTGTTGTTTCTTATTTCCTTCTGTTAAAATTGTCCATGAGAGGCATTTGGAAAAAACTATTTTAAAGCATTTTATTTTTCAGACCATGTAATTTTTCTTCCTGCCACATTACTCCTACCTACAGTACCTCCACATACAAACTTTGAATTTGCAAAAGACTGACAAAAATAAAAGTGTACTGGTAGTTCAGAAGAAATCTTACTAGCAGGGCTACATAGAGTTGCACAGATGATAATTGACCTCTTTGTAAAGAACCAATTTAAAAGTTGTTGTAGCGCAAATAGTAGCCTTTCGAAATGGGGAACAGTGGCAACATTACATTGAAATTAATCACACCCTTCAGCTTCTATAGTGATTGATGAAATATATCCAGAACACAGTAACTTAGAAGACTGTCATCTGAGAATAATATGGTCAGGAAGGAGAGGAATCAGCAAATGGGCAACAAATGTTATGTCAGGATAATTATCTGCTGGCTAGGAGTGAATGGATACTACTTCAAATGCCCCATGAAAAAGTGCTTTACTTCAAATGCCTTCCTCAAATTTTGCTTCATTTAAATTGTGTAGTCAAAAGTAGGATAACAATACGGTTGATTGTTTGCAAATGCTCTTGGGATCTTTCCTGTGAAATCTCTGAAAATGTAGGTTAGATTTATGTTTCAAATATACTTCTTTCCCAAACTCATATAGTGTAAATCATCCCTTTCTCATCCCTTCATTTCTTGATTTTTCTAATCTATTCTGAAGGAGATCTTCCATTGAACTCCTACACTATATAATAAATCCCTCCACTTTTTTTTTTTTTTTTTTTACAAAAACTTCCCTCTGAAACACACTGCTTTACTGACTGGAAATTATGGGAAGTGCTAGATAGGGGAGTGCCAGTTTGAGGAAGACTATCTCAGAGTATTAGTACATTCTGAATCAATGAAAAAATGTTGATCTATCTTTCTACCTTTGCAGTGCTTTATACTGGTGTTTCTAATGCCACACAGGAGAAGGCAACCACTTCAAGCAATTCCTCTCTCCACCCTACAGAGTTTTGGATGAAGACACGGCAACCATTTCTGTCTCAGACTCCAGAAAAAGAGAAAGCCAAGGAGGGTGAAACAATGGTCTTTGGATGCCAGTATCACAGTCCCCAAGGATCGTCTTTGAATAACCTCACAGTGAAGTGGTATAAACGGGATGGAAAAGGACAGAAGGATGTCATGGAAAATAATGTCACTGCCCTGGAAAACAACACTAGAATTTTTATGACTGGGAATTTATCAGAAGGTGATGCTTCACTGACTATCTTAAAAGTGACAGCCAGTGATCATGGCACTTATTACTGCCAAGTGATTCTTTCCAATGGTGATGTGGTGACTGGCGATGGCACAAAACTTAGAATCCAGAGAGCACTAGGTAAAATTTTGTTCTGCTTTTTAAAAAATGCTTTCAGAGATTTTCTAGAATGTTTGCAAGTAGACCAGGGGTGTCAAACTCCTGACAGCCCATTGTCATGTGATGTATCACAACTTTTTTCCCCTTCACTAAAATGGGGTGGGCATGGCCAGCGCATGATGCATCCGGCCCGCAGGCCGCAAGTTTGACATCTCTGACGTAGACTATCTGTTAAAGAAATTACAGTGCTCTTCTCCTCCTCCTTCTGACACAATGATGGCCTAACAAAAGCCTTTTCTGAAAGCACCTGAGAGGCATTGTAAAAAGTAAGCCACTTGGCTTTAAAGATCATAGACTAAGAATACACATTTAATCATGCTTTTTTAAAATAAGCTAGATTCACAAAGCTCATTAAACCATAAAACATGGTTTACAAATACAATGAGAAAGTGCGCATAACTTAAACCAGGGGTGTCCAACCTTGGCAACTTTAAGACTTGTGGACTTCAACTCCCAGAATTCCTCAGCCAGCTGGCTGAGGA